TAAAAATAAAATAAAATAATAAATAATAAATAATTTGACATTAAAGTCACGTTTATTTGACGAATTAGATTGAAAGAAATTGTCAATTAGATAATAATTAGTGAAAAAATTGTTAATGTGAGAATTGTTAATGAAGAGATTAAGTAAAAATATATTTGTTTTGATAATAGTGTGGGAAATGGTTAATGATAAAATCGTTAAATTATTTTTAAATAAAATAAAATAAATAATTATTTCTATATTAAAAAAATTAAATAAATATTAAAACAATAGGTGCACTTGGGATTGTTAAAATAAAAAAATAAAAATAAAAAGTTGGCTGGCCAGTTTTTTTTTTGGTCGGCCGAATTTTTTTTGGCCGACCGGTTATGTTTGTAAAAAATAAAATAAAAATTACACAGTATTGGACGTCCGGGCGGACGACCGGACAGACTAAAGCCGCTCACTATTTTCTTAATCTCACTCATTTTCTAACCAAGCTAGTCTCCCCACTAAGGTGGATTATTACACCGCCCAGACTATGAAGTCGACGCTCCCAAACAATAAATAATATTTGAGGGCCACAATTTTTGTGGCTCAAATGACTTAAAACTATCAAAACGACGTCGTTTTGAGCACAAAACATGCCAAAACGACGTCGTTTTGACAGTTTTGAGCCATTTAAACCACAAAAATTGTAACCCTCTATCATTGTCCCCGAACAATACCAAACATGCGATAAGTTGGACCATAGCAATCCTACTCTAGTGCAGCCGAAAGGCCCTCATTATAATGACACGCCTAGAGGAAAATTCATATAATTATGAGGTTTTGTAAGTAAAGTTATGTTTGGTTTTGACTTTTTGGTTAAAAAAGTATCAAAAAAAAAATAAAAATAGCTATATAAGTTATTAAGATAAAATGTCACGTTTAAATCATAATTATTACATTTTTTCTCTCATAAAAATTAAAAAAGTCAAAAACAAAAATCAAACAAGACTAAAAAAGTCAGGCTAAAATAATCAAAAAATCGGATTATTTAAATTCTTCCCAAACACAGGCTAATTATTCAACATTACTAGCCATATTTGATTTTTTTTTTTTAATTATCAAAAATAAAATGTTTGTAAGTTAGTAAAATTAAGTTATAATTTAAAAAGAGTCACTATTGATCTATCAATTTGAACCCAGACCTTCCACTCACCGTATCTTAAAGTGCGATCACATGCTACTAGGTTCCAAATTGATTAAGACACATCTCTCTAATTTTTTTTTCACAAAAAATTATATAGAATGTATTTTTTTATCAAATCTCACCGATGCACTTCCATTCACTTATTTCTCTACTTACAATTGTGAACTTTCAAAAAAAAAAAAAAAAAAATCCACCCAGTTTCTGACTTCTTCATCACCTTTTTTTAAAAAAAATTACATCTGAATAAACCTTAAAATTTATCATCACCCTTAAAATTTTTAACAACAATGTTAAATAATCTAAATTTTCATGACTCGAATAGTTTGACATAGTTTTGAGACAATCGAATCATTCATGTCACACAAATTCAGGTCACTAGTTATTTTTTAATTTTTAATCAGATTAAAAATTTGTGTTTGGATTGTAATGTGAATCAGGGGTGACATCATTCAGCATAGATTTGGAGAGCAAGAGGGTGACAGTGATGGGACACGTGTCACCAGTAGGAGTCTTGGAGAGCATATCAAAGGTGAAAAGAGCAGAGTTCTGGCCCTGCTGATGGGTTTTGGGTTTACTGTATTATGGTAGAAGACACCACATGGTGCCAAAGTCCTAAACCTTTGAATTTATATGTATGTTTTTGTATTTTTACCTTGTGTTTTAGCTTAATACTAAAAATCTAATCAATTTAGAAGTGGTCCCAAAATAAAAAGAGAGAAAGAGATGGATAGAATTATGATCATGTGGGTGGGAGCAGCATTGATAGTGATGGGGTTTTTTATGAGACACCTTTATCAATATTTCTAAATGCGAAAATTTATGGTGTGCATCTACTTGTGCATATCATATGTACTATACCATAAATTTGTATAATTTTATTATAAAATTTAATAATATCAATTACAAATACGTAATATCGATATAAATTAATGTTACAAAATATTTATAATTTTGTGATTCATGTAATAAAATATGATTAGATTATGATACTTTTTATTATGTCAATTTGTGACGAGATTATACATTTGTGATTGATATTATGAAATTTTATAATAAAATTATAATAAGGTGCATAACAACGTAAATGCACACCATAGAGTTTTCCTTTTTAAATCTTATTTACTCTTTCACCAAGGATCCTCTAGAGTGTTTTTTTTCCTAAAATTTTCAAAAGTGGTGTATTGTGTGGTTGAGATTTAATACTGAAAAATTGATGTGACTTGTCATTAAATCTCAACCACACAATGCACCACTTTAGAAAAAAAAAAACTCTAAAAGATCCTTGCTCTTACTCTTTATCCTTTTTATCATTTTACAATGGTGTTTTTTAATATTTTTTCTTGCTTTGTGGTACATTTCTCATTTGCACCTGATTTATTTATAATTATTTTTTTTTTTTAATTTCTTTTGCCTCCAAAAACCCCCACGAGCTGAATTAACCAGCTCAATGGATTCATAGCTCATCTATGCTAATATCAGACACACGGGACTAATTATGCAATTAGCCCCTGTATTTTAGTCTTTATATTATTTTGCTTCTTATAATTTTAATTAACTAAATTTTGATAATTAATTCTTGACTTTGTTTCAAATTAATCTAATTGATTTTAAATGTTAAATTTTGTGTGTGTGTGTGTGTGTGTGTGTTTGTGTGTGTGTGTGTGTCAAATGTACACATGAGCCATATATATCATATTTTTAGAAGTAAAATTATGAAATTGATCAATTCAATAACTTAAATTCAACCAATTCATTGATATTTTTTTTTTTTGTCAAAATGACTTAGCAAAATTTGCTGCTGCTGGCGATATTGTAAACCCTAAACCCCCCCCCCCCCTCCCCACCAAAAAAAAAATGGATGGTAAATTATAAATACATCTCTTGAAATTTGTTTAAAATATGATTTATCCTCTATGATTCTAGAAATTACATTCTTCCTCCTGAAATTTCTAATTTAATAACAAATGATCCATTTTATTAATAAATTATCAAATTAATTAACAGTTTTTAATGATGTTAAAAATTTATCTTAATTAATAATTCAAGTAATTTTATTATTGTATAGGAAAACAGTTTTGAATTTTATTTTTTCAATTAATTTTGTTAAAATAAAAAATTCTAATAAAGGGATATTTGTAATTTTTCAAACTATAGTGGGCAATCCGTATTTTGTAATTTACCAAAAAAAAAAATATTGCATGTAGTAAACTTGTAATTTTCCACACACCAAATATATATATAGTTAAAGAAATTTAACAAAGCATTAATATTAGTAAAATAAATTTGGTTCTCCTTTTAAACAATCAACAAAAGGATATACGTTCTCAAAAAAAGAAAAAAAAGAAAAAAGAAAAGAAAAGGGATATACAATAAATATCAATGATGACATATGAATGATGCATCAATTTTAGTTGGAGAAGTATGCTCTTGACATTCCATATTGTTAGAAGAATTTTATTAATTTATTTAATTTAATTTAAATAAAATTACAATGGTCCATCCAATGAATTTGAATTTTTAAACGGATGAGATATGCAATTTAATAAAAAAATTCATTTGATGGGTAAGATTCGATACTGTAAATTTATCATGTTTTGATGAGTGTAACAAATTTAATATGTTTACTGTGTCCATTGAAATAAATTTTAACCCATAGATTAGGTGATGGGGGTTATTGCTGCCTCAATTTGAAGGTTATTATAGGTTTATTTTTATGATTCGAACCGATCATTTTGTAGGGTTCATTGAGTACTTCATGCCTATAAAAAATTATATTCATTGGATATCAATAACTACGTGATCGGATTGCATATTTTTTATATTATTTCTCAAAAGAAAAACTTATTGTTTATTTTTTTATGATAAATGTAATTCGATTATATAATTATTGATATCCGATTAATATGATTTTTGGTAGCTATGAAGTACTTAACAAACCCCAAAAGGATATGCGTTCTCATAAAAATAAAAAATAAAAAAAAGGAATACAATAAATATCAATCATGACATATGAATGATGCATCAATTTTAGTTGGAGAAGTATGCTCTTGACATTCCATATTGTTAGAAGAATTTTATTAATTTATTTAATTTAATTTAAATAAAATTACAATGGTCCATCCAATGAATTTGAATTTTTAAACGGATGAGATATGCAATTTAATAAAAAAAATTCATTTGATGGGTAAGATTCGATACTGTAAATTTATCATGTTTTGATGAGTGTAACAAATTTAATATGTTTACTGTGTCCATTGAAATAAATTTTAACCCATAGATTAGGTGATGGGGGTTATTGCTGCCTCAATTTGAAGGTTATTATAGGTTTATTTTTATGATTCGAACCGATCATTTTGTAGGGTTCATTGAGTACTTCATGCCTATAAAAAATTATATTCATTGGATATCAATAACTACGTGATCGGATTGCATATTTTTTATATTATTTCTCAAAAGAAAAACTTATTGTTTATTTTTTTATGATAAATGTAATTCGATTATATAATTATTGATATCCGATTAATATGATTTTTGGTAGCTATGAAGTACTTAACAAACCCAACAAAATGAAAGGTTTAAATTATAAAAATAAGCTTATAATAACCTTCAAATTGAGGCACAACAGTTACTGCTGTGCCTAACCCTCATTCATATATTAGTATGTTGATCTGTTGATAAATTTTTATGTTTGATAGCAGGTGATGAATCCTGCAAGTACAAGAAGGGGGTTGATTTTGATTTTCAATGTCAACCTTCAAGAAAATGTATATACATATATATGTTGCTTCTTCATTGAAATGCGGTAGTATTACAGGATAAGGTTCACACAAATAATTGTTTGCACATTTCTTTTGTTGATTGCCACAATCATTGTTGGACTCATAAAATAGTGATTTTTTTTAATTTTTCAAATTTTTATAAATTTTTTCTTACTTTTTTTGGTTGAACGACAGCACACCATTTTACGGAAATTAAACGGGTGCAGTACTATTTTTGGGAGGTTGAACTCTTAAGATCCTATTAAGATCGTCACATCTAAGTATCGATAATGTTAGAAATATTAAATTTTTTATCAAATAAATGACCAAATGTCTTATATAAATATGAAGTCCGCAATTTTGTTAACTCCACATGCATGCGAGACATTTAATCATTTGTTTAATAAAAAATTTAGAATTTATAGCATTTCCCTTTAAGTATTATATTTGAATATCATTAATATAGCTTATTATTAAATGATGCTCATCTTATCTCCTAGTGAATTTTTCATAACATGCAATTAGTATTACATAAAGCAAAATATTTTTCAAACATTAAATAATAGTCAAATATAGTCATCATATTATTGTTTATTGCCCACAAATAGATCATGTATGACAAGCATGAGAATCATAAATTATGTAACAAGCATAAGAGATAGGATCCCAAATGATCCGTGGACAAAAACTTGATCTTGTCCAACATAGTTCACCCGGCTAATGGCTCGGCCTAGTCTATTTGAGCGTCCAGTCTGTCCTAATTCGTAAAAAATAATTTAGAATTTTGAACAAAAATTTGCACCAAGGATCCTCTAGAGTGTTTTTTTTCTAAAGTTTTTTAAAGTGGTATATTGTGTGATTGAGATTTAATGTTAAAAAATTGATGTGCCTTGTCATTAAATCTCAACCACACAATGCACTACTCTAGGAAACTTTAGGAAAAAAAAACTCTAGAGGATCTTTGCTCAAAAATTTGTATCACTCTCCGAATTGGAGGCATGATCAGCCACGTGGTTATATAGATGGTATTGATTAGGGTTGATTTTGGTCATTTATACTTGTGTTATGTCACTAAATTAAGTTTTGGTTTATTTATTATTGAACTATTATTACATTTATTCGATTTGATTATAAATTCGTATTTAGGTTTACGTGTACCTTGGGTAAGGCGTTGTGGGTCACCGCCAGTCATGTTTGGATTTGGATTATGACAGTTAGTAACCCGAACCCGCTCATAAACCCAACCCGTAAGAGCCCGCATAGGTAAGTCTAATGTTTAATTTGATTTTTTTAGTCTAATGTTTAGTTTTATTTTTTAGTTTTTATTTTTTTTTCTTTCTATTTTTGCCCCTCCACTTGTAGGTATATATGTTACTTGATTATTTTTTGATTATATGAGATGTAAAAATGTTTTTAAAAAAAAATCAAAATACTTGAATTATATTGGAAAGTAAATAAGAAAAATAATTAATGAAAATATTAAAAATATGTAAATGAAAAATATATAGAACTTAATAATATAAGTGTAATAAAAAATGTGTAATCCGGTTCAGTTTGATTTTGCCCCATAAAATTTGGCCTAATGGGTGTAATGTGGTTTTAGTTTTTTTAAATAGGTTCGGCCAGTACCAGCCCGTTGACTGGTCAAAACCTAAAAAACTCATGAAAATATAAAATTTGGAAATAATAGTTGTTGGCTGGGTAAGCTTGGCTTGTCCCATTGATGACTTCTAATGAAAGAGAAGGTGGTAATTGATTTATATGCTTCTGTTTGGTTGAGTTTTCAGACTTTGCTTTTGAAAATTTTAAAAAAACTAGTTTGGTAGGAAAAATAAAAATAAAAGGGTAATTACACGGACCTCCCCTGAGGTTTACCTTAATTACAGGGACTTCCCCTGCAGTTTCAAAAATTACACATACCTTTCTTACTTTTGAAACTAATATACAAATACCTCCTTCTGTTACCCACTTGTCCAAATTCAAACAGATTTGGCTGAGGTCATTCAAAATTGCCCTTACCTCCCCCATACCTCCATTGCCCTGATGCCTCCCATTCCAAAACCTCCGCATA